GTCTGGAGCAGTTTGGTACTTCTCTCCGGACATGCCAACCACGGGGTGCACCGACGTCTCTTTCAGGGGCGACAGGTCCGAGAACCCCGCACACCACCAACCAACGCCGACGGGATAATGCTTGAGAGTGGCGACAATTCCCGCACGTCATCACCGACTCGCGAGAAATTTTGCACACAGGGCCCCGGGATGGCCTCCGGTCGCGTCGAGAGGCTCAGCCATCAGATGCAACACTGGATCTTACACCTCAGTTAAATTATCCTCAAAACCGACTAATGAGGAGACGTCCACCATTAGCGACCCCCGCGGCGCCCACAGCGCGCGCGGCCCATCGTAAGAATCAACAATAAGGACAATGTATCCATCAAATTTTCGAGATCGGAAGAATGCAGGCCCTCCCCCCTCACCCCGACACAGGCAGCGCGCCAGCGACTCGCACACCACACCCAGCACACACAGCGGCGGCGCTGAACCACCATCAAGGCATGTCAATCACAGCAGGCATTCAATCCCACCCCGATCAAGCCCGTCCATCCGACCGGCCAGGGCCTCCCCACGAGCGGGGGCGGGCAACCTGGGGGCATTCCCTCCGGCCGATGAACACGCGCCGCCAATCGCACACTGCCGCGGCCGCGGCCCAGTGGGCTCGCGACCCGGCCGTGCGCCACAGCCTAACGCCTCCAAAACTTCAAATGAATCAGTTGCACAACTTTTCGTCTCTATATGGTCCAATAGTAAGCCACACCTAAGCAAGGAATGCTCGACGACCCGAGTCCCAGCCGCTATATCATCAAACATCGTACCACTCCTCCAAACACCAAGTCTAGAGCTCAGATCCGCGCTCATCGGTTGCCGACCGTTGAGTCGTCAGCCTCACTTCTTCTTGTCCAGGACGGACGCCTGGGCGGCTGCCAAGCGAGCAATGGGCACCCGGAACGGCGAGCACGACACGTAGTCCAGGCCGACGGCGTACACGAACTTCACCGACGCGGGGTCGCCGCCCTGCTCGCCGCACAGGCCCACCTTCAAATTGGGTCGCGTGGCCCGGCCCTTCTCCGTGGCCATCTTGATCAGCTGGCCAACGCCCTCCTCGTCCAGGACCTGGAAGGGGTCCACCTGCAGGATGCCCTTGTCCAGATACACCTGCACAACAATCCACAAATCAGGCCCACGGTTTGATTCGAATCTGCGATGCGTTGATGGGATGGATGTGGAACATTGCACAAATCAGGCCGACCATTTGATTCGTTTGATTGTGCGTTCCGATTTATTCGTTTCATCTGTTTGATTCGTTTCAGCCGTTTGATTCGACTGTTTCGTTTGATATTGCGATCCACTTGATTCGATTCTGGGACACATGCAGCAAGATGCGACCTTCGAGCCTACGAGGCGATGATGAGCTCAGTTTCGCTCACAATTGTTCTTTGAGATTGGTGTCAATACCGACCAAGAACAGAATGAAACTGATGCTTCTTGCATTCCACCCGGAGCAACATGAAGCCCATACTTCATATTTTCCACAACGACCCTGCGGTCCATATCGTTAAAGATCTTCCTGCCAGGTGGCACAACGCCTACTTCTTTTGTGTTGGGACAAGGGCAGCACCTCCACTGTACAATGCCACCTACAATGTACCTTTTGGAATAAACAGAAATGCTCCAAGCGAGCACACACCTGCAAGAACTTGCCGATGTCGTCCCGTGAGTAGCCAAACGTCATCTGAGTAAGATCGTTGGTGCCAAAGGAGAAGAATTCTGCAGTCTCAGCAACCTGGTCAGCCAACAGGGCCGCCCTGGGGATCTCAATCATGGTGCCCACACGGTAGTCCACCCGCGTGCCTTTCTCCTCAAAGACCTTCTCAGCCATGCGACGAACGAGGGACTCCTGGTTCTTCAGCTCAGCGGAGGTACCGATCAGTGGCACCATGATGTCAGGCTGGACCTTGACCCCTTTCTTGCTGACATTGACAGCTGCCTCCAGGATCGCACGTGCCTGGTGCAGTAATGGTCAGCAAACGCACGCAAAGGTGAGCTAAGCTGGGAACAGGCACTGGCAACTGTGACTAGCACTCAACACTCCCTGCTGGGGGAAGGCAAAGATTTGCTGACTCCCGTTAACGTAATCAGTCATGAGAACCATTTCATGCTTTCACACTGGTGGTCAGCTTACGAGTGGCTGGTGTGCCACAAACCCGAACAAGCAGGGCTACAGATTCAAGCTAGCTCTGGCAATTGGTTCAGTCAGCTCCCTTTTTTTCATATTGATGAAAACAATGCGCCCTTTGTAGGTCAGTGCACCAGCATTCCACACCTATTAAAGAGCCTATACAAGAGCTGTCAGCCGGAACACAGAGTCAAACGAGGACATCACACAGCAAATGAGCATCCAGCAACTGCGTGATTCTGACATCAGCAGCAAACAAGTTCCATTTTGCCTCCCACCTGCATCTCTGCGATCTCCGGGTAGGTGATCGCCAGGCGGCAGCCACGGAACCCAAGCATGGGATTCAGCTCTTCAAGCCTCTCGATCGTTTCAGCGATATCCGCGGGCTTGCCACCTGTCTCACGTGCCAGCATCTCCACAACCTCGTCCATGTCCCCGTCAGGAAGGAATTCATGCAGCGGGGGGTCCAGCAGCCGAATTGTCACTGGCAGCCCGTCCATCGCGGTGAACAGGCCCTCGAAGTCCGACCTCTGGAAGGGCAGCAGCTCGTCCAGGGCCTTGACCCTGTCCTCCTTGGACTGGGCAACGATCATCTTCCGCACAGTCTTGATGCGCTCCTCGGTGGCGAAGAACATGTGCTCTGTGCGGCACAGGCCGATGCCCTCAGCGCCGTTCTCGCGCGCCATGGCAGCATCCTCCGGGGTGTCGGCATTAGTGTACACGCCCATGGTCCTGATCACACAGAGATGCGGTGAGTTCTGTTGCTGGAGCAACGTCCTAGTTGGAAACTGGATCGACTGACTGACTGCTGCATTCAGAAGTGCCAGGCTCAGCAGGGCTTTGTTGCAAGCGTTACCTGAACTGGTCCACCCAGTGCATGAATCGGCCCAGGTCTCCCACCATCTCAGGCTGCTTCAGTGGGCATTTGCCAACGATCACCTCCCCCGTTGTGCCGTTGATGGAGATCCAGTCGTGCTCGTTGACAACTGTGTTCCCAAAGCGGCAGCTGCCATTGCCCTCGTCGATCTGCAGGTCCCCACAGCCCGTGATGCAGGTCTTGCCCCAGCCCCTAGCAACCACGGCAGCATGGGAGGTCATGCCGCCCAGCTGTGTAACCACACCCTCCGATGAGTGCATGCCCTTCACGTCCTCAGGAGAGGTCTCCTTGCGGACGAGAATGACATCGTGGCCTGAGGCCTTCATCGTCTCCGCATCGTCAGCAGTGAAGACCACCTAGTCAAACCGGCCACACATGGAACCTCATTTAGAATACCTCTGTGGCACAGAAAAGCACCAGCTCTTTCACCTGATTGGCGTTTATGCAGGGTGACATAAAGATGAATAGCGTGCGTTGTCGATGGTTGAAAGAAAGGCGCACAACCAGAGGCGACATCAATGCACCAGAAGCATAGCATGCCCCATCAGGGACTAACACAAAGTAATGGTGCAGACAGCAACGATAAAAGTCTGGCTGCAAGTTGCGCCTGTGTCCACATCTTCTCCAGCTTCAAACCATGCACTGAGGAGCTTTCCCGCAACACGGGATAACTTCTTTGGACAGTGGTACCACGCCAGCACATCTCCCAATGTTCACGTTCTGGCACACCCAACTGGCACAAGGACCTGGGATTGTGCAGGGAAAACGAATGACTGTCAGCTGGGTACTGTGGTGCACATTATGCCACCCTCCAGATGCAAAGCTCTCTGTTGCCATGCCCTGAGAAATGCAATGAGCAGATTTGGGCAGAAACATATTTTAGTCTCCCATTATTTACCTGGCCGACAGATGCACCAGGAGAGGCAGGCAGTCCAGTAGCCACCACCCTGTCCTTGTAGGCTGCCTCATCCTCAAACTGCGGATGCAGCAGCTGGTCCAGGTGGTTGGCATCAACCTTCAGTACAGCCTCCTCGGGTGTGATCAAGCCCTCGTCCACCATGGCCACAGCAATCTTGACAGCGCTCATGCCAGTCCTCTTGCCCGTGCGGCACTGCAACATGAACAGCTTGCCTTCCTGGATTGTGAACTCGATGTCCTGCACATGACATAAAAGCGTCACAACTATTGTGCACAACCTGTTCTCACCTGCTGATGTGGAGGCTCCTTATTCCATCGCAGGTCTCGACAAAACTAACAAACGACACTTCGCACAATACCTAAGCCCTGCTGATCGCTGACCTGTTCACTTGCCAGGGTTTGAGTGCACCCAGGACCCTGAAACGCATATCACAAACACTGTGCATCGCCAGAACAGTTGCAGAAGCAGCACTTGCCCTTGTATCAAACATGGCGCCACACAGCACGCACTGGGTGCAGAACTACAAGTGCTCAGCAATATGCTGCACTAAACTATACTGCAAGATGCCCCTTTCCGAACAGCAGACGCCTCAGGAAAGGTAAAGGGCTAAGAGCTAACATATGCAGCACGCCAAACCTTCGGCATCCAGCCGTTGCTTTTGCTGAAACCGCAGCCCCTTTCATATGAACTACATCCCCAGCCAAACTGCCAAATCCAAGAGTATGTACACTGTACCATTGATACACTGTCTGCGACTTGCTACAGGCTAACGCCTGGTACACGAGGACCCAGCTCACAGCAACAGAAACAAAGTCCAGTTTGTCAAAAAGCTCAGAAAAGATCGATGGTTTTTGGGAAATACACCTGGCAAAATGTATACAGCGGCTCAATCCCCTCACCTGCATCTCCTTGTAGTGCCTTTCCAGTAGATCGCAGTTTCTGACGAGTTCATCATACATCTGTGGCATTTCAGCCTTCATGTCGTCGATGTGCAGCGGCGTCCTGATGCCGGCCACCACATCCTCCCCCTGCGCATTCATCAGGTACTCCCCGTACAGGTGTTTGTCCCCGTTTGCGGGGTTGCGCGTGAAGAGCACGCCCGTCGCGGAGGTGTCGCCCATGTTCCCAAATGCCATGGTCTGGACGTTGACTGCCGTGCCACCCAAGCCGGTGAGCTTGGCCACCTGTCAGTGCAAGCATTCGCTGAACATGGCATGCAGCAGCACAAGAGCATGCGCATTCTTGCTGAAAGCACCGACGAAAACAAATATTGGATCGCCAAATACAAAGATGGCATTGGCTGATTGAGGCCAATCTCTTGGACAAAATGAACGTATTTACTACTCTCACACGTGATCAGCTGATATTGAAATGTGATCAACTGATTGCTGATTGATAGTTGCCTTGACTCCATGCAAACAAACAGCAGACATGCACACCTGGCGGTAGACCTTGGCCCTGTCCGACTCCCACGAGTCGAAGACAGCATAGATGGAGGCGCGCAGCTGATCGTAGGGGTCATCGGGGAACTGGGTGCCCTGGTCGACGTACACCTGCTTGTACCGATGCGCCACCTCCTTCATGTCCTCTGCTGAGAGGTCTGTGTCGAACTCCACGCCTTTCTCTTTCTGCACGGCAACAGCAACATAGCAAAATAAGGCACCGAACAGCAGGCACAGGAGCAAATGGACTTCACCTCAGGGTCATGTGGCGTGCACTGAGGCAAACAAAATCAAAATAAACTTGTGGGATGGACAAGCGCATTACAGCCATTCAGTCCCAAGAAGTCGTACAACCAGTCCTAACAGAGGGGGCATACCAAATGGAGCAAAACAAGGCTCAAGTGCTCTGTGATGTAAGCACGGCAGTTCTCTGAAGATGATCGTGTTCACAAGGCTCTTGTGCTCCCTCAAAGCGCCTTTCATTGGATCAGCACCAGCAGCACATAAAGTCAACTATAGAGACCACTAACTGGGAGTCTGCCAAAACGTTCAGCACCTTCATGGCCTCAAGTTGCTCTTCGAACAGCTCGTGGGGAACACCCATGACGACGTTTCCAAACATATCCAGGAAGCGCCTGTAAGCGTCGTATGCGAAACGCCCGCCAGCCTTGGCGGCCAAGCCCTCGACAACATTGTCGCTCAGCCCCAAGTTCAGAACGGTGTCCATCATACCGGGCATGGAGACCTGTAAACAGCATAGGACACAGTCTTTTTCAGCTCGTCTTTTCCCAAACAATCTTCTGTGCGATCTACTCCACTTTTTGACCGCATAGATCTCTTGATTTTTACCTTTCTATGACTTCTTTATTTGATATTTGTCGCTAATAAGTTAACAAGCTCATACTAGCAGATCTGTTGGACTGAGCAAAGGAACTAGGCAATTCTGCGGGCACACCCCAAACTGACCAACAAGCGAACAGCGAAGCTCAAGTCCACAGCAAACAAGCTGCTCCTGGCAGTATCAGTTGAGCAGAGCACAGCAAAGATAAGAACAGGAAACTTTGGAAATTAACAAAAATATTATAAGAAAGCAACGGAAAAGCAAAAGGGCCAGTAACAGGACAGGAATGGGTTGATAGGCAAACAGGAATAGGCTTAAACCCCGAGCATACACACCCAACCAAAAGAGACAGTGCTAGCGCGCAACTCATAATCCTTGCGGGATCGCAGCGACGCAAAGGCAGCATTACCACTGTGCTAAATCATCAAAAACACACGTCAAATTGGCTATATCTCACTTTCAGAGCTGCAGCCTCCCACAACGTCGAATACAACACTGGTACTAAACCGGTCTCCGAGGGCAGATGAAAGGGAACATAGCGCGCAGCATTTTTGAAAGCAAAAAAGATATGGCGCTCCATGCCACATTGCTGCCCATGGCACCTGTGCCAGCACTGATGGCCAGATTGCTTCCCGAGAACTAAACCGATTTTCCGCACCATACATCATCCCAGCCAGCCGAATCGCCGAATCGTCGAATCGCAAACCCTGCGGCGGACACGCCACCGGCAACGCGCGAGCTTTCCACTTCCACCACAGCCTTCCGCATACAACACCTCCCCGGCCCTCCCTGGCCTCAATCCACCCCACCCCCGCGCCGCCCACCCTCCCACCCACAGAAGCCCGAAAGCCTTTCGGAAACGCCGCAACGCCAGCACGCACGGACCCGCTGGACCAATGAAATCACGACCATGGCATATCCGGCCAATCGCGGCCAACGTCGCCTCAGGCCGGGATAAAGTACGAATCAAGGCTCCGGCCGTGGACCGCCGCCCACCCATCACCGCTCTCAGCCATCCCCACCCACCCACCCACCAACCGCACCAACCGCACCAACCGCACCAACCGGGGTCCAAGGGGGGCGGGGGAGCCACTCACCGCGGCGCCGGACCGCACGGACAGCAGCAGCGGGTTAGCGGCGTCGCCAAACTTCTGGCCCATCTCCTCCTCCACCACCTTGAGCGCGGCCAGTGTGTCCTCCCAGCAACCCTCCGGCAGGGTGCGATCTGCGAACAGGGCGGGGTTGGTTTCAGCGAAGGACGAAAAATGTTCGCGACCGCGCGGGTTGCGTCGGGAAGCGGCTTCGATCGGCGAGGCTGGGCGGCATGAGATGGCATTGATCCGGGGTTGGGGCAGGGGCGCTGCAGGGGAGGGGATGGTATAGGGGCTCCTGGCGACGTTGATCGCGACAACGGGTCTGGGAAGCGCGCGTGATGGCGCGCGGACATCGTGGGAAGATCTGCGTCGAGTCCCTGCGCGGGCCGATCGGCGCCGCGGGCCTGCGGGAGATGCATCTTTCGCGTTCGGGCGGCTGTTTGTCGCTCACCGTTGTTGTGGAAGGCGCGGCAGGTCTCCGTGGTGATGGTGAAGCCCGGTGGAACGGCCAGGCCGATGCCGCACATCTCCGCCAGGTTGGCTCCCTTCCCGCCGAGCTGCGCCGCCGCAAAGCCGCCCGTCAGCTGTGCGCCGGCAACGCGCGCGAAGATCAACGCGCGCCCGAGCACGGAACCCAACTCACCAGACTCTTCATGCTCGCGTCGCCGTCGTTCTTGCCCTTGCCGAAGTTGTAGACGCGCTGCGATCGCGAACAAAGCCCAACGAAGCGTCAGAAAATCCGCCGGCGTCCAATCCCCGCCGCCACGCCGCCCCGCTCCGAGTCCCCCCGCCACGATCCTCCCCGGCCGTCCCAGACCGGCGCGGTCCCCCGACGCAACGCCCCACCCGCCCCAGTCCCGCACCCACGCCTCGCCCGTCCAACGTTAACCGCCGCACATCACCCTGCCCCCCTCACGGCCCCCGATCCGCCGAGATCTCCCTCCGATAGCCATCAAACATCCTCCCCAAACCCCCACTCCCCACACGCTCAGATTCACCACGGCCACGCCCAGCCTCCGGAGATCCACCCACTCCAACAACCGCACTGCAAACCGCCCAGCGCGCGCCCCGCCCACCTTAACGGCCACCTCGGGCGCTGCCACCGCCACCACGGGCGTCGCCAGTCGCGCCGCCGCCCTCCCCGCGCGATCCCTAACGGCCAGCCGCGCGCCGGCGATCCCATCCCCCTTCAGCCGCAGCGCCCTCCCGGCCCGGAGGCTTGCCGGGCTGCCGCCGGCCAGCCGCACGTGGGCGAAGCACCGGCGGGGCCCCGCGAATGGGGCCGCCGTGCGGCCCATGGTGACCTGCATGGCCGGGGAGTGGCCTTCGAGGCCGAGCCTGAGGGTTGACGCGAGGAGTGACGAAGGGAGCAGGCGACCGAAACCTCCCCACTGAGAGCAGACCGGTGCGGCGCTTCAAGTGGGGAGTCCGGGGGCGCACCAAGGGGGTGACGTGAACCGCGGGCGAAAAAAGCGGGCAACAGAACAGTAGTTTGCGGAATGAGCGGGAGAAAAAACGGAAGAAGAGGCAGGACGGGGTGACGCGAAAGTGCGAGGTGCTTGTGGCTGTGAGGAGGGCGGGCGGGGTGCGCGAACGACGAGCACCAATGTGCGACAGTGTTGGGGGCACCGCGGCCCCTGGGCCGGCGGCGCCAATTGGACAGCGCGGGGGGCATATGCTGTGCGCCGCAGGGCATTGTGGGTGGGCTTCTGGCACACTCGTGCTTGGCCCAGTGCCGGGGGGAGGGGGCGGCCGCCCCAAACGAGGAAGCGATGCCGGAATGTTTTTCTGTGATTTGGTGGGCGGTGGGTGCCGAATGTTCCGTTGCACTGATTCAGCATGACCTGTGACGCAATGCCTTCGACCGGGGGGGCTGCGTGGGTGTTTTGACGGAGCACTTCATGCCACACGAGAAGAAGCTGCTGAATTGCCGTTACGAGACACCCTTGAAGGCATATGGACCGCCAGACATATGAACCCGTGTTTCCTGCACTGTGCACGAAACATGTTGGTGTCGGTTGCCGATACCAATATTCCACGCCCAATGCCCACACGCATTGCGGGTTGCGGACCACAGACGCTGCAGTGCACCAGTCACAGTGCACGGGATGTCAGGGCGATCGCTTTCAACCAGCTCTCGCCCACTTGAAGATTGGAGAAAACTGAGTGAGTGCGTAAAAAAGAAAACGAATGAGAGGAAGAACGGGAGGCATAGCACCAGGTCAGGCAGAAATCGTCAACAGTCGACCTCACTGTTTCCTTCAGCTCCTCTTCTCACCGAGACTTCTTTGACGTATTGGTGATGCGCCACCCCGCTGCAGCAATGCCTTGAAGCAGTCCAACTCTGCAGATGTTGCTTTCTTTTCTTCAGTGAAGTCTTCCTCGTCGTTCCTCCGAGTCATTCACAGAAACTCTCCCCAGCTCCCACGCACAATCCAGCTCGGTTTCTTCCTCCTCTCCCATCGAATCCCCCATAAATTCGTCATCGAAATCATGACTCCCACTCTCTCGTCGATCGCGCACCCAACTCGCCCTTCAACGTTGGTATCCTGATCGCAACTCGTCAATGGTCGCTTTCTGTTGCTGCCATGCTCCTTGCCAACAAAGCACTTGTTCCCTGGGGCGCCAGCCGTCTTTTAAAGAGGGTCAGTGGAAGTCCCACCGAAGGGAACGTAGAAGTTTCAACGACTGTTCCTTTGTTAGGGATCGTCCCCCTCACCACAGAGCAAGCCAAGCTGGCGATATCCATAGGTTGTATTGTAGGGGCCTATCTCAGCAATCCAACCCATGACGTTCGTCAGCTTGACTGTGCTGCGCAATGAGCTTGCATGACCCCTCTAATACCTATGGCAAATACATCGCAAAAGCACAACCTCCCAAGAAAGCTCCAAGTTCCAGTCCTTAAAATCAGATACAAATCCCCAAATTGACTGGTGACAATCAGCTTGCAATTTCCTTCCTTGCTCTGTTAAAAACTTTTTTAGATAATTAAGGTACTTTCGAGGAGGTGTCTCAAACAAAGAATGCCTTAACACAACTCACATCTTAGATCATGTCCAGTGTAATCTCCCTCGCAGCTGTCTCTCGAGTTCAAGCTATTTTGCTAATGGTCATCTTTTCACCAGACAGCACCTTCGAAGCGTGTTCGTATGCACAGCAAGTCTATGTGAAGAGTGGCTCTGTCCTCATGAATCATGCCAAAGTAATTACAAAAAGATTGCTTGGCGATTATTATCACTAACCTCTCGTTCCTTAATCTGCCCAAGTTCCCAAGTTTCTTGCGATTTCTTCTGACCATTTTTGGCCGGAGTTGCGTCCTTGGAAGAGAACAGTTCTGGCTTGAAGAACATCCTACACCTCATAGATTGCTCAGAAAGCCCAGCTACCATATTTTCTCCATGTTCCCAGGTTTCTGGAACCTTACACCAGTTTTCGCCAATTTTAGCTCGACAAGATTGTGTGTTCATCCAAAACAGAATCTTGGGATTTTCATGTTAGGGCTCTGAACCCATTTCTCTCGCTGTTTTCAACGTGCTTTTCCCACTTTCACCAAACTCAGCGGCTTTCCATGCTAAATCTCCATAAGGCCTATGGTACTGTATCACGGAATCAGTCACCGCTTGCCACACACAGGTCGCCCATTGAGTCTAGGGACAACATGACCAAACGTGAATTTTGTTTAAGGCTTACGTGTGTCCATCCTGGCGGTGTGGATCACGATCGCGCTGGGCTCCCCCGCTGGGGCCTGGAAAACCTGGCGGCAGGCGCAAGCAAACTGCTAGGTAGATACAACATGACTTGCGTGCATACTTCCATTTCTGCCTGATGCATTCTCCAATGCGGAAATGCATCTGTTAACATGGACAGTGTGCCCATGCACCAACAAAGAGGGAATCAAGAGGGGCTCTTATGCGTTGCTGGCACCAGAGGTAAATGCTCAGCGCTTGCCACCCGCGTAGAGCCAATGTTGGTAAGGAGAGGTTGAAAAGGAAGCGCGAGGCACATACCATTGCTCTGGCATCGCTTGTTTCATCTTGTGTTTTCTTGTGCCGATTCCGCCATATTCTTCCCGTTTGAGCGTTAGGAGCCGCTACAGTCCTACCAGAGAGACTTGCTTTGTTTCTGGCGGCGTGGTGAGCTGTCACTACGCTCACCGCACGGAAAGGAGCAGATCCGCTGGCACCAAAAAAACGCCACGCGCTGTCTGATCGTGTAGAATACGGATCCCCGTGCAACGATCAGGCGAAGGCCAAGATCAAGGGCATAAGCGACCCAAAGATGGTACCGCATGACGTCGGCGTGCAGTTCCAAAAACAAAAATCCAAAGAATCGTCAGTCGAAAGAACCATAGGAGTCAGCAAAGCATCCCACACATACAAGTCTCGTGCACAAATGATCCTCTCCTAAGGGCTACGCAACTGAGCAGCCGTGATGCTGCCAAAAAGCGCTTCGCGACCGGCCCTCCAAACTACAGAATCCCAGGGTTCGATTCGGCCAAGCGTCAATGCTCCTGATGTCCCTGGAAATTCGCCACGATTCTCATGCCTAGTTGCTGGCAAGCTCAAACCCATTAACCTTAACAGCAGGCACTCTCGGCTTGACGCGGCTTCAACGGTGCAATGCCGCTGTGCTGCCCTGACAAAGCAAATGGAATCGAGGCAAATTCCCACGGAACCCTTTCAGTTGATCAATGCCCATGGGCGCAATTGCGACCCGCGCGCTTGCACAGCAGCAAATCCAGGGCCAGTCAATCGCACCCAAGTGCATGCTTCAACTGAAACGCTGCCATGACGTGCAAGGTAAAGCCAATGTGGAAAACTCATCGCCCTGCAAGTCCAGGTCCAACTGCATCTTGGGCGCGGAGCCCAACCAGTGCAGAGTTCTCCACACACTGCGAACACCAAACCATAGGGCTTGTCCTCACCCATGTCAGTCGCCCCAAGTGGCCCTTCCGACTGCACTGAGAACATGCTCGCAAGCCACTCACAGGGGGGAGGACAAAGCAGCAAGGGCAGTGCTTCGTCCTTTTTCAATAGCTGCACCAGGACAGCCACCAGCCGCTTGCGACACAACTTGCCAACCCAAGCTGTTGCCAGATGCCAATTCGCTATCATGCACGCCTTGTCAGATCCAGCGCAACTCAACCCGTCGCTCAGGCCTGGAACCCAGACGCGAAAACGCCTCAGGCGCGATCTTGCAATGGGCCAAAAATCACCTGATGCCGTCCAATGATGAAGGGTGTTGAGTTGACATGCTTGGCAAATGTCATGGGGACTGATGCACCCCAGACACCCATGGTTCTGGGACATACACCCAGCACCATCTCACACAGCGCATGCAAGCCCTGATCTGATGGACCTTTCCTCTGACAGCACATCAATTTCAGGCTCTCGTGCTAGAAGTCCTTCCTACGTTGCCACTCTCAATCCATGTCCACTACCGAATCTGGTAGGTGTTCCAAGCCCCCATTGACCTTTCTGCTGGCCATGATCTGCAACATTTCCATCTTCATGGCATTCAAGTCGGCCCTAAACGCACTGATTTCTGCTTTCAATCCCCTGTCTATCACAGTGTGCCCGCTCTTCGATTGCAGATCTTCTGTGGCATTCCGGTGGTACATCGTCGGTTTGCGCCGCAGGGTGTTCATTCGAAACGCCAGCCGCACGCTTCCGTTTACGTCTGTGCCCTCCCGAACGTTCGCGGCCCGTGGATTCCTCTTCACATTGATCCTGAGCACCAAAAGGAAAGCTGCTCCCCCAACAGCCACTGCAAGGATTATCCACAGCCCCAGCACCTGTACAACAACACGCCCAGGGCCAATCAATCGATCGATTTGGGAACCGAATTCCATTGCCTGGGCCCAACATTCCCAGACCCGAGTGCAGCAGAGGCAGCACTCCTGTGAATGATGCAAGAACTTAGTTGGCAGGCAATTTGGGGCTGAGGCTTGGAGGATGGGTGAAATATTCAGCAAGCCATCACTGCAACTCAACACCATGTGCCATGGAATCCTAGTCTGAGGCTGCATTCACAATACGCAGTTCCAGAGCAAGAGATGCAAGCATTGCCAGAGGCCACTGGGATCTGAGTTGATCAGTTCTGCAGTTGTCCTTTGTCTATGCAATGTCAACATCGCATTCTTCAGCATTCAACAAAAGCATTCAATGCAGCAACAGAAGCAACATCTTGCGTGACAGTGGTGGTACCTGCACTCTCTAGGCAAGCCAACAGTCTATGTAAAACAGCAGCCCCAGATTGGTATATCTCTTTGCCCTTGTCAGATGTGTTTTCCACTGGCTTGGTTTACTTTCTCTTTTCCTGTCCACCTGTGTTGCTTTTCCTATCCTTTTCACCTGATCGAAGTGCACTGCCCTTGTCTCGCTAATGTCAGAGTCCTCTGCGCAACCACTCCTTGGAATGTTTATGTGCTCAATGGCGAGTGTCTCCATCACGCCTTCCTCCTGCAGGGCCAACACCTGCAAGCACCAAACGCAAATGAACAGATGTTCCTTACATTCCGCCTCCAGCTACATAAAACCAAGTCACATATCACACCTTTGATGACTCATCTATGATTTAAAGTGTTGAACACAGACTCTGTGTCCAGTGCCATCTGGCATTCCCATTCCCATCTAGCAGACCCTACCTGTGTGGATACCAACTGCACGAACGAGTCGTTCGCCGTCTTTGGGAATGCGAAGGCATAGTCGAATGGTTCGATGGTCTGGGACAGCTTCTTGAGGTCACAGCCCTCAGTGTTGGATGTGAAGGACACCCAGGGCTCATCCATTACAACTGCCCTGAACACGCCTGCCCTCAAGTCTTCCACCATTTTCGCTTGATAGTCTTGGTTCTGTAAGGCAGACACAAATTCATTGTGGACAAGGTTGCAGATGGTGTTCACATGTAAAGGAGTGCTGGACACATTCAGGTGTTGAGACATCAGGTCATGGAAAGACTGGAGAGAATAGTGGCAGTTGTACCATAAGAACATGATAGTGATATGTTACTTTCTATACTTAAAAGCACTGGCACTGAATGGAGGTGCAGTCCTGTTTAGTGTTGAAATTCCATGTCACCTGATCAAATAACAATGAACATTCACAAACAATGTCACAAGATAGTCTCTATTGACTGTGCGCAGTGCATGGCGTATTAGGAGTTCTTCATGCAGAAAAAAATCAAATACGCAGTGCACCTTGTACAGCTCTGCATTGCCTCGTGCATCAAGGTATCAAAACCCAACGAACAGCTTAGGTGCTTAAGAGCTGTGTCGAATGTAATCAAAACAAAAATCGAAAATCGAAAATTCAAAGAAAATGCTGCAAGCCAGCGCTGAGCACATGTCTTTGCTGTTCTGATACTCTTGCCTTTCATGTACATTCTGATGCTCAAATGCTCAACATGCTCAAATGAGCCAACATTCTGAACATTGCATTGAGGTGCCCTGTCTTTGCTTGCCCTGGAGGTTCACCTGCTCAGCGATAACAGGCAGTATCCCCTGCCTTGCCAGCCTGTCCCTGTACACCTGTATGGACACCACCCGCCTTCCTGGCAAGTCCGCTAGGTCACCCACCCCCTTCACCAACGTGTCAACCTGCGTGATGGTCAGAAATGCAGCCAGGTTGGCAACATAGGTGTTGACTATGATCAGCACCAGGAAGCCATAGGCCATCACCACCACGCGGGCTGCTGTCGAGTGCACCTCATAATGCCCAAAATTGACTAAGGCGGCGAAGCTGTCGTAGGTGGCATCCTTGAGGCCCTGCAGCCAGTCGCCCTTGTGTATGAACCCGTGGCAAGCCAGGCTCTCCACAACGAACACGAGCCAGGGGATGACCAGGGCTGTGGCGATTGTGGCCACCCACACGGACCAATGCAGGGGCCTCAAGAAACCCCAACTCGAGCCTTCCCTCACCTTGGCTGAAAGCAGGAAACAAGGATCGTCAATAAAGTGGAATGAGCCAGAGACCAGAGAGAAATTCAACGATTTGCCACTGCAGTTTCTTTTCATTGAAGTAGGTGAAGTAGGTGAAGCTTGTAGAGGATACAAAGGTTCTGAACCATATGGGATGTCTGGGATGTGCTTGAGATGCTTCAGAAACTTGTATCCTCCATACGCTTGACATATTTCACACATTTGTCAGGAGCATTTGCAATTGTGAGATGAGAAGGCAGCGATGCAGTACTTTGCCCCTGATCCATTTAAAGAGGATTTTCCTACTTCATATGACAGTGGTGCCAGACACGCCCAAACACAAGTGGTTCAGCTTGAAATGTTGTTAAGCGATGGTGCTGTGCAGAGCTTGACATTGTGTTGCTCCACATAGAATGCATGCAACGTCAGTTCATATGATGGATGTGCAGGATTCAACATTCCACTTGTGTACATCAGACACATACCGGGCGGCTTGCTGCCCTCTGCTGCAAAAGACGTGAATTGCCGTCCTCTAGGCAAATACCACCAAAGTTGCCAATAAGCCTACTTTGTTGCCTGAAACAGCTTGTGTGAAAAGTTTAGATGTTGCACACCTGTACACAGAATGTTCTGTACCACGCTTTGGCAAATCACTGATGTGGAGCGCGTGTTGATTTTCCACGCTAAACACAAAATGGAATGAACACCAGCTCAGTTCAGCCTTGCGGCTGATGTGTGCCTGAGGGCCATGACCTGATTGCCTGCAACAGCCCAGTGTACCAACAGTCATTTGATCAATACTGGTTGTGCATGTGGGGCAGGTGATAGCCTTATCACTCTTAGTTGGGTGTGAACACCATGAACGGCATTGCCTGTAAAAGCTCAACTTACCAAGAGTCATTATGCCAAGACTGGCTCGGTATGTGGGGTAGGTAAATTTTATTCCCGCTTCCTGTCTATCTGTCGACCTGGTAATGCCGGATGCCACCATGTCGCAGGTCGTCTCATTCTCGTTGTCCTTTTGGAGATCCTCCAGAATCGACTTGAAGTCGCGGCAATCGAGGGTGTAGTTGTCGAAACCCAGCCTCTTGGTCAGGTCAGCAACCAAGTCGATGTGGTACCCGGTATATCTGGACTGGGGTTCAGAGGCTTTGCACCTGACTATTGGCACAAGGGTGGAGATGCAGATGTTGAAGGGCGAGCTGTTGCCTTGGGCGATCACACTGGTGTGTGGGATGCAGGCTGCCAGTGTGGCCCAGAGGAACAGCTTTATTGTGCAGGAATCGTACAATCCACGCCCCATGATGGTGACTCTGTGTGGTGCAGGCTGCCGCCGTTGCCACCTGAGCAAGAGACAGCCCCCACCTAACTCATTTGTCAAAGCATGACAAAGCACCGCTCCTTTCACCCACCAGGCGGTACAGAGTGTTCATCTCACTACAGCGCAGTTACCTCACAAACCTTCTGCTCCTTTACGATTTTTCTGCTCCCGATCTCCAGCAGGAGAAGCACGATGGCACTCGTCGTTGCAAAGACAAGGGGCAGATCGAACGCAGGCGCACAAGGCTTTGGAATTGAGCACCCTTGAAACACTGCGGGTTGAACACAGTTTGCCCCTGAGCAACCAGCTTGAGACTCTTTTCCAAGCGACACGGTGTTCCCCATCAGAGGCCTCCGTCGCACGTAGGCCGTTTGGGGCGTGCAGGCCAACGGCGAGGTGACATGAAAGTCCTCCAAGTGCATTGGCGGCAGTGAGAATGTATTGGCCTTCTCAGTTGAGTACAGTACTCTGCATCTGGGATGAGCTGGCACGACTAGCGTTGCTGGAAGTTACGAAGCTAGAGGCTACACACCCGGTATTCGGTCTGTTTCCCACGGGAGCACCACAACAGCACACTTGCTGCAAGCGTGCTTTGCCCTGTACATATCATCAAGCCCAGCAGCACGTGACCAATTCGGAAGGCAGCTGACCACCGCTCCACTCCCTGTAGGGAAGTGGAACAGCAGCGTTGGCCAACCAGAACAGCAGATTCCGGCCTTTGGAGTCTCAAGGATTATTGAGTGGAGTCAAATTTGCGAAGGTGCCCGCTGTCGAGAACGGAATCACGACTCCCTTTGTTCGGCGACCAAATGGCCTCTTGGCCAGCGCCGGCAAGGGGCGACCTATCTCCACGCTATCTGGCCGGCCCGTTCTTATATCCCAAACTGAGAAGAAACCCTCGTCCGCAGGTACCCACGTCACACAATGACCCACACTCGCGCCTCCTCTCCCAACCACGACTTTCCCGATACGCAGATCGCAATGCTGCCGCGCGCAGGGGACGCCAATGCCAGCCGCACGTCACCATCGGCCCCACCGAGCCCAGGAGCGGCGCTGTGCCGCCTCTGCGGGATGCCGCAGCGCCCCTTGTGCTTCCATGGGCCTGCCCTGGTATTCGCTGACCTGAGCATCGACCACAGCGCCGCATCGGGAGTGCGCCAATCACGCTATCCAATCCGCTCCGGGTGTCCGGCGCGCCTCCTCGACGGCCAAATCCCCTCACTTTCGCCCCGTCGGTGAAAGAATCTCCCTCCCGGGGGAAAGGGACGAAATATCTCACTCTGGGATCAGTCGGCCTGTTGTAGGACAATTGTTGGGGAACAATGCGCCCTGCGGCCACGGGAGAGCCCATCCCAGCGCACGATTCGCCACAGGAAACCCCGGTTACGAGCGGCACGAGCCCACGGCCGAAAAACACAGCCAGGGAGGAGCGGAGCGGCGGGCTGGCTGCAAGCCGCACAGCTCTCGCCGCGGCAAGCTTTCAGTAGCATGGTGCGCAGCACGGCACCATCCTCGCCGAAATTTCCGACCCGCGACCCCTTTCCAGCGCCCCCCGAGACGCGGGGCGACCGGGCGCGGAACCTGCGCCTGCGCCTACGCCGGGGACGCTGACGTTTGCGGCTCTGCCCCTTCCGCAATTTCCCACCCACCGTTCAGCCGGCCGGCAACCATGCAGCGCCGGGCGCCCGGCGGGGGCTCCAGATGGATGCCTCGCCGCTGCCTGCTCCTCCGGAGAGAGCGCGACCGGCGGCCAGGGCGGGAGGCGCCTGGACGGGGCAGCTAACCGCACGGGGCTGCGCCTATTTGTGTATGACGGCATACTCGGAACTGCTCAAAGTACGACAGGGCCGATGTATTGGTTCGCGAGCGGGGTGGCTCGTAGGGTGGGCGTGTGGTACAGCAGTGGGCCCCGGCCGGTGACGTGGTTGGCCCCCGTGAGAGAAAGGGTCGGGCCTCTGAGTGGGAGCCACAACGGGTGTTGCAGGGTTTGGGCTGCCTCAGGCTGTCGCGGCGGCGGTCAGATCAGATCAGATCGGGTCGGATCAAGTCGCGTCAAGATGACGCATCGCCCAACTGGGACACGGATCTGGGCTACGGGTATGTATGGCGAGGGGGGAGGGGGTTGTCAAAGCAGAGAGCAGTGAGGACACGCCAAGGCGGGGCGCAGCGGGGTGCGCATGGGCGAGGTGCGGTGGGGAAGGTGGGGCGCGGACGCAAGGGAGCTACATGCCGAGAATGGGCGGACCCTACCGGAGGACCCACTGGCTGCTTGGGGTGAGATTTGGCTCCTTGGGGAGCCAGTGGCAGACTGACCCCTCCAAGGTTTGGTGGTCCGCGACAGTTTGGCACTACCGAGTCGGTAACGTTACGCTTCGGCGGAATGAGGGCCACATCGGCACATCGGAGCCCCTGATTTTCTGGGGTTTGTTCACGAGTTTGGACCGTTGAAAGACGGGGCCCCCCTGCTCGCCTGTCTGTTGAAAGATAGCGTCCCTTGCTCATCTGTGCGGATCTGACACCCCGTGCTCGTCTCTCTGTGCGAGGGCGGCCGTTGGCCGAGTGAAAAACCCGTCGCCGAGTTGTGTTGGCCAGTCTGGCCGCCATGGAGCCCAGGGATGGAGCGAGCACCACTGCGGAAAGCAGGTGGGAGATTGCCCATTGGCTTCTCGGCAATGTGCCAACATGCGGACACGAATCGGCGTTCAGGGAGGTATCTCCCCGGTAGCAACCCTCTCGAGCATGTGCAACGGACCCCCACGAATGCTACGAGGCCTTGGGTCCAATTGGGAGCCATGCAAGACGCCGGCGCGATCACATTGAGCGCCGCAGGCGATGGGCGCTGCGCGCATTCGGCGGGGGCTGCACAGTGTGCTCGATCAACAACGGGCAGATCTGCCCTGTGGGTCGTACTCTAGAGTGCAACATGTGCCTGAGGTGCCATTGCGACATGGCATTAGTCATGACACTAATCTTGACACTAGTACTGCGTGCGTCAATGGGAAATCGTGACGGAGCCACTGTAAAGCCTGCATCCTAAGGAGACGGGAGAAGCTGCGACAAGCCTCGATTGAAAGCAGCGGATGACACACAAGCCTGCATGCCCAACTGATGCCAACGATCAATTCCAGTGATCGACATGCGCAAGGCCGAGTGATCAAGGTATGCCCATGCTGAGAATTGCTCCAAACAAGGTTCCAAGGCTTGACAGTGAGCACCAAGGAATGAACCATAGAATTTGAATTGAAGTCAACTACTGCCATGGGACACTAACCATGTGACAACCACTGCTCTTTTGCTCTCCTGGATGTCGTTTTGGGACAGCCGCGCAGGCATCGCCACCTTAAACCAGCTATTAACTACATTTTTGAGATCTTTTTGCCCGTTTTTCTGCATTTCCAATCGAATGAATTCAGGCCCTCTTTTGAGCCACATCTTCTCTACATTTCCCCATCCAAATTTACCGAGAGAGTTAAAATTGCATGTTCAAGACTCCAAAAGGCTGGATCGCCCCTCCACTGGATAATTGAAGAGCTTATCCAATGCCCCACATTCCGCCATGCCTCTGCCTGGCCAACAATTTCTTGACTGCAGCTTCCCAGACACTTAAGCTCAGCCTCGACGGCCCGCGCCTCTCAACGACCGTCGTTTCCGGTCTCTGGACGCACAGCGCAATTTCCCTAATTCAACGGCGCCGCAGCCGGTATCTACTCGTAGTACAGTCCATACACCTGGCACACGCAATACAAGCTGTCGTTCTGGTAGCACTCCGACGCGAAATTGTCGGAGTTGGCGTCCCAAAGGCACCGAGACACAATGCGCATGGCCTGGCCCTTCTTCTGTCCCAGCGTCACCTGCGACATTTCCATAGGTAAAATGCACTTTCGATTACAGTTTGTTGCTAAATTATACTCTATTTTACCTGCACAGGCACGTTCAGGACGCCGACTGCAATGCTATTCGACATTGACTCCTGCCATCGCTATCGCCGTGATGGCATTGATGGGTGTGAAAATGGCGCCACGGTTGGCGTCACCAATATGGCGTTTTTGGCAGTGCACGAAGCGCCAAAGCACGGCGCAACGAACGCAGTTTATAAACTGCGTGCAGTTTAATGTCTAATTAGACAGAATCCGTGCCCAATTAGACAAAATCCATGTCTAATTAGACAAAATGTGCGCAGAGTGGTGCGCGACATACTCTCGTGGGCGCGGCGCCTACGCTCGGTCTCTCTTCGACGAAATTTGTCCCATTATTGAAATATTTGCTAAATCACATTGAATGAGTTCAAGGGGTTCGCGCCCACCTGGACAAGGTACTTGTACCGGTCGTAGCCGAGGGCCTTCACCTTCTCGCGCATGTCGTCAGCCAACTGCTTGGCCGTCTGGGCGCCCTTTACCGGGTCGTATTTCTGCCCTTCCATCCGCTCCTTCAGCATTTGTTTCACCACCTGTGGCGCTCCATCAGTTAGAGTTTGTGTCCGCGGGCAATTCGGCGCAATGTGAATTCTGATGTGCGTTAGGAAACGATGACCATTTGCAATATATTGTTTCGGATGTGGCTAAGCGAATCTCTAATGCATCTCTAGAACAATTGCTGCGTAGGTCGCATTCAAAACGGAAGAGATCACCCTTCAACCCTTTACCACATTGATCCATGTATTCAATAAATATTGAATATGGCTATAGTAGCGTTAAAATCACTATATTAAATCAGTTCACGCACTGTGTACCATATTGAATGCTAGAAATACTTGAAACACGTGCCGTTCATCTCCTTCCAGGCGCCTGAACACGGTTCGCCAAGGGCTCTTATTGTCTCAATTGTGAATTCAGTTGCATCTCTGTCCACATTTCAATCATTATTTTGTCACATTCCATGATGTGCAGGCCATGTTTGTGCAAAACAAAGAGGCAATTTCTTCTGCCCACAATGGGCACCTGCAAAACTTTGTGTCTCTGGAATTTCACCCCCTCGCCATAGCCGTCCGGCTCCGTGATATACGTGTTCTCGTATATGACCTCCTTGAGGGGGCCTCCGAAGGAGCTGTCCTCCATCCTGGCAGATGTCTTCGATAAGGCGGGCCTCTGAAAACGTCAGCGCACTGGCAACAGATGGTCACCAGAAAATAGAATTTAATTGACGTCATCTGGCTACGTATCGCTCGACGTGAATAACTGCCGCATCGTTTTCAGTAGCTCAGCAAGCTGTTAAAAGATTCTCTATTGTGGAGGGGCAAGCATATGTATATATTAGACACAAGCGCATCTTAGGCTTATCCAAGCATTCTCGCAGAAAAAGCTGCTGGCATTGTCATCCATATTAATAGTTTCTGTACATTTTCTACCGAAAAGAATCAGAAGCATCCAAACGGGGCTGCTGAGTTTTCACCACGAGCTTAACTGCAACAGTGTATTGAAATTTCCATGAAGCCTGCGACACCAAAGTTGTTTTCTATTTTGCGATATTAGTGTAGTACGAAACAATAATGCGTAACAGAAAATTTTGCGCTGCCTTCTATCAAACAGATTGTAAATGCAGAATTGTTGGATGGACGGAAACCACTCTTACAGCAACCCCAGTTACAAGAGATATGCTGATGCATGAAGAGCAAGTAAGTAGTAAGTCGCCATCATTGATTCTTCATATCTTCCAACAGCCACGGACTGGCATCAAGGTGACCTTGAATGGGCCAAGCATATGCTTCCAGGTGTTTTCCTACCATCACGCAGTGCGCACATTATCATCAGGAGAATCGGCGAGCCCACAGCCGCTGTATATACAGCATTGCTCAATATACATACCAAATGTATCTACCGTCTTCCTTTCTCCACAAATGTTCCTCACCTAGAGGAAGTTATGTCAACGTGACGAGACCCGCACCTTGAAACGATGCTGTCTGGGCTGCGAGGCCCCACCTGACCACCGCCGACAGAAGGCCGTGGACACCTCTGTTGACCAAGTCAGACCGGGTGCTGGGAGCCTTCGCTCTCCCAACAGATCATATACGATGACGAGAGCATACGGTATTGACTGGCCGTCTTTGCGCCGCCCCCGCTGTTGCACGTGCCCAGGCAACGACGGTGTTGTCAACACGGTGTACTCTGTGCTGCTTAATCGCCGTGCGGTGTGAATTTTATTTGTGTGGGATGTCACTTTTTCGCGTTTAAATGACATTTTAAACTTTCGTCATCCAAACTTAGTTTGGGTGGCACGGAGCTGGGGACAGGAATGCAAATGCGGCGTGGGGCAAAAGGCGCGGAAATTTTGGTTTGAATTAGTTGATTTAGTATTCACACCCGTCAGATTTAGAAAGGGGGGCAGCGAGCAACACAAAATGTTGAGGAACAACGTTTTGTAAGAAACTGGAAACCACTGGATTCTATTGTGCAATTACTTCGAATATTCACGTCTTACCAGAAAAGATATGTTCTATGTTGAAATCGGCACCTGGCCGTCGTATCCTTGCCTTTATGTGCCAAGCTAATTGATCCAATACAAAAATACAAGCAACTAAGAACATTCATTGAATCAATCAATTCGACGTAAGACGTTCTCTGTCGCTCATCCTATCCCAGCCAGCAGCAGCTCCCAGACACGTCACTCCAACGCTGGCACGGCGCTTCTCATGAGCTAAGGAACGGTGGAAGCAAATAATGGCTCGGTGCTACGCAAGGTTGTGCAGAAATCTCCAATTGTATCAGGAACAGCCTTGTTGTTTATATTTACGGCACCAGTCTTAAGTTTGATTTTGTGCCCTGTTAAGCACACCGTTAGCCACTTAGTCCTGATACGTCAGGACAGGCTTGTGACTAACCCTGGAATGTAAAGTGATGTGTCGCGCTAACCAGGCTGTGCGTTATGCCCTGTTAGATTGCGATATAGAATAGTATGCTGGGACTGAACTTATTGCGCTGCGGAGCCGCACAGCTGGGAGAGAGAAAGTTGTGAAGCATGTGTAACGAGATAATGCGGAGATTCGCAACTGATGATTGATGAAGCGATGAGGAACCTGCCTTGTTTTCCGCGTGCTTAATGGGGATATTCTTTTAACGATACTTTCCGATGGACTCAGGTGATCTGGTGTATAATTGGGTGAACAATTGGTGAGTGTGAGGCAGGGATTCAGTACTCATCAATGGCAGTTTCAAAGCCGTTGTATATACTGGACCTTTATAGAATTGTGGGTGCATTTTTCTTGGTGATCAAGCGGTGTGTACTTCGGAAAATTGCGTATCCTGTGATGAGGGCACACAGCGACGTTACGACAATTCGTGAAAAGGCGGTCTGCCTAAACTATTGATGGATGCCCTTGAGGATGGGGTTTGTCATAACTACGACAAGACCTTACGTCATACTTGAGCATCCGACACGACAAGCTTTCAAACTTGAATAATGACCCGTCAAACACTAAGAAGACGGACCGATCGCCCGGACAGTTGCGGACGCGAATGGAAAATGGACATGATGTTGATTAGAACTCTGCGGTATTTGCTCATTGATAACGTAAACATATAGAGTACATATGGGAGGCCTTGAACACTTGCCTGCCCTCTGAAAGGGCCTTACTCGGATCCGTGGCCCAAACGTCGGATGCGCTGTTATAATTATGACATAAAGGCTTCACATATGAAGTTTTGGTCAGCAGGTTTGCTGACATGAACAATGAATGGGCGGATACAACAACATGGGATGGCTGGGATGCATTCAAGCCATAAATCATAGCACTGCCCATGAAAACAGAACTTCGGTAACAACATATTTTCAAGTCATTAGAATCAGCATGAGTTATGGCTGATGCTGTTGCTGGCAATCGTCATACGGCGATAGCCAGGTCAAGATGGGAAATGGCCTGAAGTCTATGGCAAGTCATGCCTATATTTGGAGGAAACGGATGGCGAGGGCTGGCGGTTGCAAGTAGACTACGAGGTGGCCTCGAGGGTGGCTGAATTGACCAAGAACTGGGCGATCGCGTTCCCGTCTTTATAATGATTGAAATGAGAGCGATACATTGTGAGGGGCTGTCCAGAGTAGCAAAGGTAATGCGTCAGCGGCACCCCTCTTCGTTGGGCGCGTCCAGGTCTATCGACTTTGATAATCTTCAATGACGTTTTTTGATCATGCCGGATGCCTTTGCGGACAGCTGCTTGTCTTCGTTGGCAGGAATTGCCATCACTGGAGCTCCTTGATGTTTTGAAGATGGGGAAGGCATGGATTGTCCTGGAACAGACAGAACACAGGATCAGTACCTGGATGGAACACAAAAATAGTAATGAATATAACCATAGAGCCGATCGGCCAGGCAGAATGCATAGCTATGGAGCCCCGATGGAACTTTGGGTGCGCGTTCAAGGTTGCCGTACACCATCGTGTGTCATGGCGACCTTGAATGTTGTGCGGCAACGTTGGGCGCCAAGATTGCGGAGCGCCTTAGCGCCGTACGTACAGCGGTGGCGGCATGCAGCGTTGCGCTCGAACATGGGTGCCAGAGCGTGGCTGCCAAGACTCGGTGATGACGAAGACGATGGCGGAATCGCATAGGCCACGTTGCGCTACTTACATGGCAGCGGCCTACCTCGCCGTGCATGGAATATGCATGACCACAAGTGGCTGCGATGGGTGCAAGAAACGCTGGGATCTATGGCGAGCTGGACTGCTAGGCGCGGCCTGGATGCAAAGGCCTGCTCAGCGGTAGGGGGCGCGAGCGAGGGGCTGGCGCCTACGGCAGAGGCATGGGGGAGCAAGCGAGGGCAGGCTCAGGCGAATGGCGGCAGTGGGACCCATGGCGCGCGCGTGATTGGACAGGAGGCCATGGAATCGAATCAGGAGGGCGCCGATCTGATCAGGGAAGCCGCGAGGCAGTCGTTGTCATAACGTAATGAAAGTTTGGAAGGGGCAGGAAAGTTCGGGGAGGCTCTGAAGTGACGTGACAGTTTGGGGATCAGCTGATTGATAGGGAAACATCTGAGGCGGTTCTAGAAGGTTGTGGAAGGAGTGGTTGTTCTATAAATGGCGGGGGAGTTGTCGCCATAGTGTTGTAGTCCCTGGCGACTTGGCGCCCATTTCACCTTGAGGTGCTTAATGGCGGGCGAACGTTGAAGCATTGTAGGACCTGGAGCCAAGTGTAGCAACGATTCGGTGGCTGTCAAATCGGTGTGTCCGCCCAGATTGTTGGGCCTGAGTCGAGCGTGTGAGTTGTGAATCGCTGTGCAAACCTATCGTTCGAAACAGCAAGGCATCCCTCCTCCCTGGAAACGGAATTGGAGAGCTGAACCTAGTCGGTGAGAGGGATCGTCGTAGCACATCGCATGCCAGTAAGTGGTACTGGTTTGGGTAAGTTGCATGCGCGCTGAAAAGTGGCTGGAAGTCCCAGATAGGAGGCAGATTCCATGGTAATTGCATGCTGTGAATTCATTGTCACGCTCCCCATAGTCGCCACCAGTGAAGTTCAGGCGACTTCCATTTGCTCTCACTTGCATAATAGTCCGAATCGCGCCGCAAGGGAAAGGTAAAACTGTGATAGGGCGCTGTAGCTGCTCTGAAAGAGAAAAAGGCCCTTTAGCAGTAAACACTTCGGTATAGACTTGCTCTTGTAATGAGCGAGAGTCAGAAAGGAGGCAACTCAAACTGTAGCATACAAACGTCTCCACCAAAACTTGCTCAAGCAGAGTGTCCTCCTGCCCCTATCAAAGCGAATCCAAAATCAACACGAAATGAAAAGGAAATGAAAAGGGCACTTGCTGATGAAGGCGCAGGTAGTGCAACTGAGCTGAAGCTGGAAAACTGCCACAGAAAAGTACTTGGCCATTCCTAGTCACAGACACATAGACATTACCACGCTGGACGTCAGAGTATGTTCTGAAGACGTTCTAGTGTCGTCAGGCAGTGCACACAGCCTTGGGGAAAATGTAAGTGCCTGGTTGGGTGTTTTCATAAGCACCAATCGGTTAATGAAACTCTGGAAAGCCCTTGACGGGGCTTTCCTGACAGTGTGTTGTGTCAACTTGTGCACATACAGCCCTATAATACCAGCAAGACTCGCTGGGTTGTTTAGGTTGTGCTCAAACGCTCGAGCACTCTTCAAAGCATGGTGGCACTTCAAATTCCATTTTACAACCACAATTGCCATCGGAAATCATTATTGTCGGATTTGTCACTAACTTCCTACCTGCAGTCAGGCGCAATGCGCCCACTGCCATCTTCTGCATTCTGACCACATTGCCATATCTTCCGAATTTGGAAAAAAACAAACAAACAACTCCTAGTATGTACAGATTTGCCGCGAAATGCACGGCGCCACGCTCATAATCTTGTACATCCATCCCCACCACCAACGCACCGAAGAGAAAACGCTCTGTTGACTTCGTAGCTAATCGTTCCTCCCTTATACACACAACAAGTTCGCTCTGTCCCGAGGTATCGTCTATCAATAGATTCCCGCATTTTACTTCCCAACTCAGCCGCGGTTGGGATCCGCGGAGCTGGCAAACCACCTGCCCTCCCCCCCGCCAAGGAGCAAGGGTATCGTTTTGTCTCTCAAAGGCATCTTAAATAATGGCAACTTGGGCGATTTAAATAGACTCAATTTAGCAGCCGCGGGTCTCCACAAACATCGCTAACAGTGCCTTCTCTCTTTCCTTCCCTCCCGGCGCCGTCTCTGCCCACATCCCACCCAAACAGGCCGCACCCCTGGGCGCCGGCCCCTGCGACGTCCCCGCCCGTGCCCAGCACCAGATTAGTCAGCCTGCTCCTGATGCTCCTCATGAGGGCGCCCGAGGAGGCGGGGTGGGTGTCTTGGAGGGCGCGCAGCTGCGGGCTGGCAGCCATCTCCGGCATGTGCTCTGCCGCGAACTCCGAGCACCCGAAGCACAGCTCGGCGCTGCCGTGCGCCTCGCCCAGCAGCCAGTACTGGACCAGGTTGTGGGCGTCGATGTCGGCTATCATCATGTTCAGGCACACCTGCCTCAGTCCCATCACCTGCATTGGGCCACGGCTTCCCGGGCGTGAGGAATCCGAACAGAAATTCACATGCACAGCAGCCATTGGCGTTGTTTGTGTTGGGATGGCGCCGGTGCCTGGGCGGTAAAATGTGATGGAACCTTTCACAGTCAACAGGAAACAACAGCGGCGTTGGATGGAGAGAAGCCGGCTCACGCACGTTCAGCACCGTTGCAAGCAGATTGACTGCGAGCCAGCCTAATCAGTGCAATGATATCGTACCCAATTTCACCGAAATTTTGACGTTTGTAACCTCAAGACATGTATGTAAGTTCCGTGCAGTTCTGTGTTAATGTATTGAAGTTCGAACAGTACAACGACGCTACAACATAAATAGAATTCTATTGGTGTTGTAGCGTCGTTGTACTGTTTCATGCATTGATGCATTAATGTTTCCCTTGCGCCGTCAAGGCAGCGATGATTCCTGAGACAAAATGATCGAGATCGAATCTAATGGAATCGAGATCATTGCGGCTGACGCACGTCGTCGGGCAACAAGAAAGGGCACTTTCGGAAACTGTGCGGCTCTGCGTTGTCACCAGAGTAACAGCTAGCGTCCAAATCCGCCTCAAGCTGGACGTTTCTCGAGGCATGGCAATGACTGCCGTCCACAGTTTGAGATAGTTAAATGAATTGGGGCACTTTCCGGTGGAACGTAAGCTAACAATGCGGAGACATGTCTGAGAGCGAATGGGGAATTTCTTCTGAAACTTCTAGACTGTGGCAGGGAAATGAATTGTGGGAACACGATGAAAACAGGCGTTTCCAGTGATTTGCAGTCCCCTGGCGGATCTGCAAAGCAGCGCACATCGCTTTGACGAACTCAAGACAGCATCAACCAAATATTCATTTGGGGTCACCGAAGATTCGGAGACACCAAGTTTGCTTGGAGCGGATGCAAATCATTGTGCAACAGGCCATGAAGCACGCACTTCACGTGCATACACAACAGGAACAAAGCGCACAATCGACCACTGGGGAGATTCCAGTTTGATACTTGAGTTTTGGTTGCCAAGTTGGTGGGGACGCTTGGGGGGTGGTTGCCGAACAATTGATCGAACTTCCCGATAGGAAGGCACCGCGATCTTAGAGATGTTCATGCACCTCTTGCAAGGAAGCTTGCTTTCGTGCTTGCTTGCTTGCTTGATTGATTTACCGCCGAAGAGATGATCACAGGATCCGCTGAAACGCGCAGCTTTCTTTCTTTTGGCTGCGGCGTTGCGCCCTCACCCCGAATCGATCCGCCGCCTGGAACACCTCAACCGCCATCTCCGCGGGCACCTCCTCCAGGCAGCAGTACATGTACCGCAGCAGCACCTCCATGACGTCAGCCCGCACACCCGACAGCTCCACCCTCTCAGAGTGGCTGTCCGCCATGTCGCTGGCCCACATGCCCCTGAAGACCGCGGAGGCCTCCGCGAGGACGAGGCGGTGGCAGGGAAGCGCGAGGCCCTCCACTACCAGCTCGACGTCGCTCAGGTGGCGGCTCTTGAACAGTTTGCGGCGCAGCGGATGGAGCAGGGAGGTGGTCTGGGTGTCGCTCATCACTGCGGGGATGAAAGGATGCGCAAATGATACGTTAGAAACGAAGAAGCAGCAACGAAAGAAATATGCAAGCGAATAAGGAACAGAGGAATAGCAAAGACATAGATAGAAAAATCATGCCGAACGAGGCTCAGAATTGGATCGATCGCGAGCAGATCTGAATTGACTGTTGCAGCCAGCAGCAGCATGCAGCGCGATGCTGCCTACACGGACTTCCATATCATAGCGCCACAATGCCGAAAATGCTGCTTAAAGAAATGAATATATTCACAGCCCTTTCAATTGACAATCGGTACACAGTTGTGGACGTCCGGCGGCGGAGGGGGCGAACCGGGGAATTTTTAAGAAAGGACAAAGACAGATCAAAGGTTTCGATTACACTGTTTTGACGTGTGTGGTCTACATTCCATTCTACCTGCATAAATTCACGTTTGCATTTGAGATCATGGTGTTCACTTTACGCAATTGGCCTGCCACGCGCCTTTTCTCATGTTTCTGCACATTTGCCTTCTGGGCACTTGAGCTTCTGCCCTTGCTAGACGCTTGAGCGCATGGCAGCGACGGACATGGCACCTCAAAGCGGGCAAGGCCTCAATCCCACCACCATTATTGTAGTATTACAATACCGCATTGTTAGCATGACAATCAGCATTAAAATTGGTGACCTCTTTAGTACAAATCCTCATGCCCAATAACCGATTACTTCTTGGCTTTCAACTTCCGAGACTGCAACCGCGTAACCTAAAGCCCGCAAGACATGTTGCCCCACAAACGGAGCTCAGCGCGGAAGGCCGCCGCCCCGCACCCATGAGCGCCCCCAGGTCCTCGTCCGCCCCCACCGACGGCATCGCGTCCTCCGACGGCGTCACGAGCCGCAGGCACTCCACCGCCACGCACGGCGTGCTGAGCGCACGATTCTGGCCGTGCCAGTTCACCCTGCCGCCCACGTGGGCGATGTGGTGTTTGCCCATGCGCGCCGCCGCGTGGTTGCCCCTGGGGCTGGGCCTGTGGCGGCCGCAGGCCACCCTGTCCCAGACGCGGCTGGTGAAGTTGAAGACGTAGGTGTCGCTGAGGGAGTCGGAGGTCAGGACGCCGGAGATGCCGCCGTGGACGACCCACTTGTCGTCGATCTGGCAGGCGGTGGAGCGCTCCCTGCGACGGCGGCACAGAGTTGTCACGCTTTTCCATACAAATTACACTTTTTCATGCATTTTCACACACTTTATCACTTTCGCAGTATTGCCCGCCCTCAAAATGTGTCGGAGCGCGAGCGTCGCACGTCGGCAGCGTAGGCCGCGATGATAATGGGCAAATACGTGCAGCAAAAGAGTTCGCGGATTTATTCTACTTGCGAAAATCGTGTGTTGTGTGCTGAGGCATACGTCCTGCTTCTAATATTTTGCAGGAAGCATTTGTTTGTCAAGTCTCAAGATGCAGAAGGTTGCTCATTAGCAGTGGGTGTCGCCGCGAAAATGTTTGCAAAGGAAAACGGCGAAGGTTGAACGCAGTGTTTCCTTGAAGGAACAAAATCGCGCTGCATAAGCGCGCTTCACGGAAGCCACGACAGCCGCATGGCGCCTTTCACACTGGTAGAAAACAGCACGTTTGAGATGCCAGCCACGATGCCATTTTGACACAGAATGATGCCGTCACAGTCACCGGGATGGCACAAAAGTGGCTGCGATGTTATCAATTTGTGTCAAATGGAGTCGCAGTTGGCATCGCAAACAGGCTGTTTTCTACTGGCGTGAATGATTGCATTCATTCAACGTGTGGGGCTGACCACCGGCGAGGTCATGCGCAGCTCAAGAGAATGTCCCCTCCGCCAAACCGCTTCAACGCACATGAGCAGTTGATCTCACACGGCGGCGCATTTGTGGCGCCTGGATATTTGAACGCGCACTTCCGTCCAGCTGGCAGGGCAACGCAGGATTGCAACGGCCGCAAGACGTAAGCGAACTTTCCTGCAGCCCGTCCCACAGCTTTGCAAAATACAATATAAACATCAGACATTAGATTCGATACGATTCCATCCAGTCGCGTCATTCAATCGAAACGGCGCTCCAGAACAGTTCTTCGGACGTGGCAGCGCAAACGCCCACCTGGGGCTTGGGGGCGTCCCAAAGTAGACGACGTTGCTCCAAACGCCCGTGTGCAGATTGAATTTGTGCATGTGCAGCGATGAGGGCGACGGCTCTGGCTCGTCAGAGTCTCTATAGGCAAGGAAAGCGTCGCTCCATCCAAACAAGTACAGCTCCTGTCCCTGAAGTGAGTGGCACGTCGTCAAACACAACATTGGAATAAGTGGCATCAATGTAGCGTGCGTTGCCAGAGCGCATCTGTACCATTTAGTTGAAGACCTACTGGTTCAAACCTTCACCGAGGTGTGCACAAGGGGAGCCGAGCGACATTAGCATCCTTATCAGTTAGTAAAATCGCCTGACGCAGTCTCTGTGTGATGTCAATGACACTATGAGTAACGTGCTGAGCGGGATCATTCGCATTTGTCTAGGAGGGCAACGGTGTTTTCACAAGCTGGCCAAATGGTTGGGCGACATTTGTCGTCGAGGCTCACCCTGCATTTTTTTAAACATTGCATGGCTATGCGCGGACCATTGTTTCTCAGCGCGTTAGTGCGCTATAAAGCAGTGCGCTGCTGAGCAGCCAATCCGTGAAATTCCTCGCAAATAGTACGAAAGCCACCCCCAACTCATGCCGCATCCTTGTTTAATTTCAAAGGGAGGATTGGTGACGCCGTGCGCAGAATTAAATAACGCGCGTGCTTCAACATCGCACAAATTATCCTTTCCAGGAAAAAAAGCCTAAACATGCGGTGCAATGCTGGCATCGAGTAGGCAAGTATTGTGCCCAAAATTGCATTAGCCAATAGTCAATGCATCTGTCAATAAACGAATGAATCAGTAGGCCAATTGCTCCACCAACTAATGAACCAATCAGCCATCGTGTAATACATTGGAATTAAAAAAAAGAACCAACCAGCCAACCGGCATTCGCCTGCGCCCATATCGACATGCAGACATCGCCGCAGTCACAGCCCCCATCGCTCCGTCGCCCGGGCCCCCACCCTCAGCGTGGCGTGGTAGTTGCTCCACAGGTTGGATGGCAGCGGCGCCCTGTACAGTTCCTTCCAGCGCGACTCGGAGAAGCTGAACGAGTAGATGCCGTCCTGCGACGCCGCCACCAGCACGTCGCCGTAGGGCTCCGCGTCGAAGTAGGTGAAGGTGTCGCCGATGCAGGCGGGCGTGGGGCCGGTGGTCTCTATGCGGCGCCACCAGCGGCTGCGCAGGTCGAGGGCCGCCACGCAGGGCGTGCGCTCGCCGATGCGCCCCGTGCCCATGGAGCCGAACACCCACATCTCGTCCTTGTGGACGACTGCGAGAAACCGCGGAAGGGTAATGCTTTCGGGCCACAATTTGAGGCGGAGTGGTGAGGAATGGTGGCTTGGGTTATCCATGAAAAGAACGCATTTTTCAACTCTTCGCTTCGGTGCATTTATGCTAGAATCAGTGAGCGAAAGAAATCAAACTGGCATCGGGCAGTTCGATCAGGACTTGCACTCGTTGGCGCGCCATTCCTTCATTTCCGTCTCTGACACAAGAGGCAGCCTGCGCGTACCTCTTCTGCTGGGAATGGACTTGGCAAATTGACTCGTTGTTTATGCGAATGTGTTTGCAACACATTCGATGGATTGTTTGGAGAGTGGACGAGCGTGCGGTGATTGGGTGGGAGTTGGGCAAGTTTACCTGCGGCGTGGTGGTAGAGCTTCGGAGCCGGCCCTGCTTGAGGCACCTCAGTCCACGCTCGTTGGCCCTTCCTCCAGCACAGCAGCTCATCCGTGGGCAGCGCGTTCTCCAAATACCCTCCAAACACGTACAGGCCCTCTTCCCATTCGACAAGAGAGCACCCGAACCGCCCTGCACAAACAGCCGTTGGTGGCAGGTTTTGGAACAGATTGTTGCTGCTTCGCTCAATTTGCAAATTTACGTTGCAAGAGCACATTTCTTCAGTACTGGTTGGTTACCAATTGGCTCATTGTCAATTCATTAAATTGGCCCTCGGCGATGGCGCATACACGGTGCGGCGAGCAGCAGAAGCTGTGTCGTGGTTACTGTCAGGCGCACCGTGTGAGTAAATGTATCTCATGGCCACACGTAAACCTTCCTAAGAGCGTATTTCCCAAACTTCCTTGACCATAAAAATTAATCCAAATCCCCAGAATAGCATCTACGGAACACGGCAACTCGGAAACACTAGACCATGAATAGAGTCGGGGGCATGCGGGACAGCGTGGCCAATAATCACCGTCCCGTGTGCGACTGAAGCCAGCTGAACAGCATTTTCGGCAAGCGTCCACGCTAGCAACTTTGCTGCGGCTTGGCTCATGTGAGAAAATGTCCATACGCTTAAAACTTGCATGCACTGCATTTGTGCCTTTGATGCGTTTGGGGGACATTTTGTACAGCCATCGCCAGGCTCTATCCATGCAATTGACGCCCATTGACTTCAAACAAAATGTGCGGCCCATTCAGCCATACGAGGCGCCGGGAGTGCGGGCACACTCTGGCCTTTGCTGTATCCACAAAACATGACGCCCGAGTTCCCATCCGTCCATGGCACGATTCCAAGTGGCGGCATGGGATATCAAGGCAATGGCGCCACTGTCGAGAGGACGAGACCTTGTGTGCCAGAGACGATTTCATGCAGCATGCGGGCCAGAAAGCCCAACAGCTGGAACTGCGCACATGCCAAAATATTCGCTTTAATGTGAGCACCATCAGCTGCAATGTGCTGATGCAGCAAAAAGGATGAATGTGTTGGGGAAACTTGTTCGGGCACAAGTGTCCTTCATGGCGCTATGCTCCGTAGATTCGATTCCAGTGTGGCTCACCTGCTGGAAGATTGGGCAACATCTCCCATGTCCACTTCCCCACGCTTCTCTTCTTGAGCTCGCTCTCCAGGCGCGTCTCCAACTCTCCCCGAGATCCCCTTGTGCACAAGCCTTTGAATGCATGAGATGTTCCTGTTTAGAATCCTAGTATTGTGCAATTTATTAGCGCCTCCTTCATTGCTACTAAGGAAGTGTTAGTGCATGCGTCATTGAGATTCGAAGTTAAATACTTTGTCAATAATTAGCACGATTATTGATTGTGCATGTTCATATTGGTTTGCATTCCATTTTACGTGTAAAAACTGTTTCGAAAGCCACGGCCGCGGCCGTAGGATATGGCCCGGGTCTTTTGCGTTACATATTTCTGACATACGAAATTCGACAACTATCACGAAGCCTCAAAATGGAACGCAACAGCGTTAATTGCGGCGTTATCGATTAGCCGTAAACGGCGGATCTTCGTTCTTTGGGCAGTGGCGTGCAGCGGTGGCGTCACCGCGAGCTCGCTTTGCACTGGATCTTTCTGGTGACGCCAAGTAAGGTGTTCAACTAAAATTATGCGGACTTCCTGCCACACTCGATGTGTGTGGACACAGTGCATGTATTTGACATGCGCCACGCGGAAGCAATAAAACAAGACACAGCTAGCGGAGAAAAAGATATGGAATCAGACACGAAAAGGAATTATGAACTTAAACCTCCGGCAAACCTATGGCTGCCATGCCACAGAAAACGCAATACAACTGTGAAAATACTTCTTTCATACTGTAATACACAGATTTCCCATAACGGGATGAGCGATTCTGCCTCGGAAATTTCACCAGGCTCATGCCTCAGGCGAATGCAACGCCAAGCAAATTAGTGGCACGGTGTTGCCACAGCACAGCCTGCACAATGGGAGGTCGATAGGTACAGCACGGTGGTACATCAACGGGTAGTAGGGGGGATACTTACGTCCATTTCGAGCAACAGATGTGTAGCATGCAGGCAGCATTACGGGACTTCGCGGCAGTGTTGGGAGTTATGCGCACTGGCTGCTCGTATGCAATATTGTGTCATCGCAGGCGTGGACTTCATGAATCAGTGCGTTTAAGTTGAATATTTGCAGTCAGTAATCAGCCATCACGTGGAAAGAATACGAAACCAACAAATAGTTAAAAAATGAAAGCCGTGCCAAGGGACGTTGGAGAGGGAAAAACTAGGCAATTGCGAAGAGCTTTCTCCTGTCGCCAACAGTCAATTAACGTTGAAGTTCTCGCGCTCAAACTGCAGCACCCCCAGCAGTTTGGCTGTGGGGTACAGTGCACACCGACCGCCAAAGAAACGACGAATTCGGGAAAAATACCACAACGCACTTTCGAGGCAAAAAAAGTTCTGCGGCGGCGAAAACGGTACCGAACGGCCGGTGAAAAGACAAGCCGATTGGAAGGCCGACGGGCTGACAAACCCCTCTTGCCCCCGGGCGCCAGCGCTGGTGGCGCCATTTACTCCTCCTGGCCAACAGAGCCAGCGGCGACTCGGGGCGAGCGCGGCCTCGCGCAAAGGGGCGCAGCGCAGGGACATCGACGATGCGCCTCGCGGCATGCCCGTACAACGGAGCACCGGTGCCCCTGGAGCCACCCGTCCGCATCTGGTCACGCGCGGCGGCCCGTTCCCCCAGCACAGCCCGGAAAGCCGAGCGGCGCTGCAGGCGCCCTCGCGACCGGACGTTGGGGCCGTCCGGCGCATCACTGGGCCGGGTCATTCGCCCATCAACCGGCCGGGCAGGCCGAACCGTCGACGGGAGCAGAGGGTCGCGACAAGTGGGCTTCGCTCCCGCATTTGCCGACACCTCGAATTCCGGAACAAATGGGGGAGCGGCGGAAAAGATGCGTCCCAGACACCCCAAACATGGCCGAGAATCCAACCACAGCCACAATCCCACTGATGAACCTCGCCCATCGACGGTGCTGCGCGGATGCCGAACTTGTTCATGACCCCCGCCCCTTTCTGCTCCCCCCGAACACAAACGCTTCCGTTCCCCGGCGGCGAAGAAGCCCGCCCACCGATTGACGCGCCGATTGGCGCGCGCCGCGCCGCCGCCCACCTTGCGACGCCAGCAGGAGCTGCAGGGAGCCGTCGCTGAGGTGCGTGGCCAGCGTGGCGGGACGGTGCGTGGAGCTGCACGCCATCGGGGAGCGCGTCCAGGTCGCCGGCGCCGGCGACGCTGATGTCCCCTAGCGGAACGCCGCCCCTCGCGCGGTGTGGCCAGCAGGCCTCAGGCGGCTGGGCGCGGGGCACTGGGGGACCGCGTCGCTGGGCTCTGGCAATGCGGATCCGGGGGACGAAACCTGGGAATTGCCAATGTGGACTCCACATAGGCCGAACTTGTGCCGCAGGCAAACCCGTCCAAGGCTTTCGCAATGTGGAGCCCTGGCAGCGGACGGGCTGCGCCCGGGGCAAAGGTTCAAGATAGGGGGGAGCGCTTGCTGTTGCGCTACCGTACTCATCTGCATAGAATTCCGTTGATTGCAACCGCAGTGATTGCGCATTGATGGCGGTTGCAACCGGCCACCCATGGCGGGTCAAACCACCGACAAACGCGTTTTCGTTTTCGGATGTTCGCATGTCACACGTTTCAGTTCAGAAGAGAAAGCGTGTTCATGGGGGGCGCCCAGCCCGAAATGTGGGCACAAAAAAATCGGCTGGTTGAGAGCAAACGATACTGCTGGCATCGGACAAGACCACCAGAATTCAGCTCAGGAAAGTGTACTCGACGCATTCGTAGCTCATGGAAATGGAGTGCGTCACTAAAACCGGGCAAGCAGAAGTCTGGACTTTGGCTGGGTTGTCAAGACGGCCTTCGACATGGCTTGCCGCACCCACGAGTACATAGAGAGCCAGAGAATGTTATTCAGCCTTTCCTCGAAAGGGGATGACGGAACATCAAATACTGTTCGCCCAATTGGTTGCCACTCGAATCTGGGGCGAAAAACAACATTGTTGCACGGGCACATGGTGTGGCCGTCACCGGGGTACACCCCCAAAAGCGCCAATGCTGGTCCTAGCCAATACCCATCAATCATGCATGTGGCGATCGACCGCTGCCTTTGGTAGTTGATGACAATTTCGCCGTGGGTATCACTTCTATCCTAGAAGTTGCAGGAGTGTTTAGGAATATCATGAGCGCAATGGCCAGGGCGGAGCGCTGGCCCAATTGCAAGCTTGTGGCCGTCAACTAGCAAAATGTTGGAATTTTGTATGTGCGGTATCGTTGATGTTGTAACTAATATTGCAAACACAAACATCGCATATTTGTGCGATCTCTTCCCAACCCCAGCCCCAACCCCATCCCTTTCCCTTGCCCTCCTAGCCGCTCGTCTTCTCTACAATTGCTACATCTTGCGAATGCAATATTGAATGTCCCAATTAGTTGTTCTAGTTTCTTACATACTAGTATGAGTTCTCGTTGGGTACTTTGCGTGTGTCTATCTCACGAACCTAGACCACTGTGGCTTGGCGAGTGCGCATTGCGCGTCCATTTACTTGTACTGGATTTGTACTCTATTTGTATTTTTTTGGTACTGTGCATCTACAAGGTGAAATTTGGGACCTGGGAAATGTGGAAAATCTGACTAAAGTACTGGTTGGGACGTTAGGCACTGTAGTGGATCTTGGAGACTGCCAGGCTGGGGTGAGTGGGTGGGTGGAAGGGGGGGGAGCGCAGCACTTCGTTTGCCAATACCCGGCAAGCCTGGCGAGCTCGCCAAACCTTGAGAGTTCCGTGACAGCACTCTTTGCACAGCACTGCCCTGTTGTGTGATGAGTTCTGGAGACCCCAGGGGCCTGAGCAGCTGATTATGGGCGGAGTTGTCCATTGCGTCCGTGGCTTAAGCTTCAGAGGATGGCCTGCGGTGGTATGTTCAACTCCAAAATTAGTGCTTCAAACACAGTGGCCACAGTTTGTATTGCAAATTGCGTTCGCCTTCTCGGCGGCTCCGCCCGGCCGCCTGCCCCCCAGCGCGCCGGATGTATTTCTCCAAATACGGCAGTAGACTACGCCGTATCCCCAAAACCGTCAGTCCCCGGCAGGCCCCGCCAGCAGGCCCTCCCCGCCCCTCCTTCGACTCCCCGCCACCTCCTTCGAGCCCGGCCGCCCCCGGCCGGCGCCCGGCTTCACCGCCTCCCGATCGCCCATCCCGCGATCGCCTCCCGGCCCTCCGCTTCCGGCACCATCCCTTCCGAAAGAGAAGAAAAGAAAGGAAGCCACACTCATCCTCTGGGCAGGGCGGTGCCATGGTGCTGTCGCTGAACGTCGCGGTGGACGACCGGGCGGTCATGTCCTTCACACCCGTCACGGAGCAGGGGCCCGTGGACTGGAGCCACGTGCCGCAGTCGAAGGCCATCCAGGAGGTGAGGGGCCGGCCCGGGGCGCATCGCGCCTGCCGCGTCAGCTTCTGGAGGGCGCCCGTTAGGTTTGCTGCGGACCGTCTGGCCGGAAGCTGTGGGCTGGCCGGTGGACGCGGCGGGCGATGAGCCGCGAACCCCGGTCGCGAGCTGGATCGCCGGCCTGCGCGACCGGGTGGAATTCCATCCTTCGCCCTTGGGGGCGCACGGGACGTGCAGGTGCCTTGGCTCTCCAGCCCGCTTTGACAAAGCGGTGCATTGTTTTGGGCTGATTTTGGCAAAGGGCTTTGGGCCTGGTGGGTCGTTCCGGGGGTGGGGGGTGGGGCTGTGCTGCGGCGGTCGCGAACGGGGAGGGTGGTCGAAAGGGAGGGGAAGATGGCATTACCAAGGGACGAGGCGGAAACCTCCTTTCCACAAATATCTCAGACGCTATAGGACGGAGCCCAGAGACCATGCAATGGCAAACGCAAGGCGACACAGTCCGAATAGCACAGCGGGCCCACAGCGCGCGAGGCCCCTGTTTGGTCGTTCATCGAAGTTCCATCAGACAGGTTTCCTCACACAGCTCCGCCCAGCGACGCACCCTATGCCGCGATTCCCCGGGAGCTGCTCCGCGCGCGAACGTTCCCACATTGGTCTTGTGTCCCGTTGTGGATGCTGTGGCTCGGAGCCTGGGCGACGTGCGCAGTAGGCACAATCGGTGGATAGGGGCGATGTGTTTAAGGAGACCCAACTGGGAGTCCGAAGGGCGGGTCTTTTCGAGGTTTTGTGTTCAAAGTCAGGAAAGGGACCAGCCGAACTCACCGCCGGGGACGCCCACTCTCTCCATGGATATGTGGGGCCCTGTCATCTGTTTCTTTTCCGCAGAGTGGCCAAAAATGCACTTTGAGAGCCACACAAGGCTCCATGTGCTACAGACACCTCTCCGAACAATGTGGGTTGTTGCGTGCTCTTGGAAAATGGTGGTCAGGGTGCCGAGCATCGTGAGGTGCTTGTAGGCCACAAGAAACTCTATCCTGTCCGCTGACCTGAACTAAGTGAACACACACTCACATGCCACTGTGCTCGTTTCTATGCAGCTGCAGGGATGCATTCGCTCACTGTGTGGTGTACCCCTGTTTCTCGTCAGCATATGTGGAGTGTTGACACTGAAAAGAGATGTTTCGTGGCCCTATTTTGGTAGAGCACCAATCGTATCAACAGCCATAATCGTATCCCTGGAACGGGCTAGTGTCGCTCAGTTGAACTCTTGCATCTGGGCTTGGTGTACAGCCCCTGAGAATAACTTTGCAGAAATGGGAGGTTGGGTGGTATGTACAGGCTTTGCAATCAGGTCTTGTCTAAGAATTATTGCCTTGGCTGAATGCCAACCCAAGGTTAGTGCGTAAATTGGATACGCATCAGAAGCTCAGGATGCCTCCCCTCAATGTGGTGTAAATTATAGACAAAGATACTACAAGAGTCTCAAACTCCATTGACAACAGCAGAATGTTGTACTGTGCCAATCAGGGACATTTCCTGCTGATGCTCATGAACACCCCTACTGCCTGCCAGCAACAGTGGAGGTTGGTCCTTCACTTGAAGATGCTGTTGATCAGCATCTGAACATTTTAGATAGGGAGTTTACTGCCATGCTTGGTTGAAGTTGCTCTGGGGAACAGAACCTGAAATGTTCTGCTTGGGTTTAGGGCCCTCCCTGATGTGCCAATTTCCCTCTCCGCCACAACAATTGCCAGCTGCCGAAAAAGCACTGGAGACAGAGAGGGATCTTTTCCAATCATGGTGATGCACGACAAGGCAAATGCCATCGACCTTGGGATGTTGAATTGTGTGAGAAATAACCTCGGCACAGCTGTGCATCTCGGCCAGGAACCCTGAGGTCAGTGCGCATCAAACACTTGTGCTCAAGACTGGTGCAGCATTGGTGAAAAAAACACCGATTCTATTTTGAGCATAATTTTGAGGTTAAGGTTGGGAAAGTATTGGAGACATGGTTCAACAGCATGAGACAGGGGCATTGCACCTTCTTGTGTTCAGCCCCCTTGCAATCTGATGAAAATGACATGCACAACATCATTGCAGCATTTTCATCTGAATGGCATGCTCAACTTCCCTGGTGTTTCCAATGTCTCAGGTCATTCAAAAGCAATACACTCTACCACCCATCGTTGTGGAGAGGGTGAAGAACCACGTCTTCTATAACGAGTCCTGTGTGGGTCGCACGATGTACTGCCTGTATGGCTCAGTGTGCTGTTGCCTGCCGTTCTGCATCTGTGGGGTGGACCATAGCACATGGGACAACGAGCGGGATGTCGACCTGGTCAGGCAAGAAGTGGTGAAATTGCTGAATTCGATACGCATCGAACCCGAGGCGTACAAGATCGATGAGTTTGGGGGCAGCACGGAGGCCTTCACCGGTAGCCGGAACGTTCTGAGACTCCACTTCAACGATCCCAATGTGCACGAGCTGTAGCTTTCAAGTTGCGAAACGGGGGTTTGAAGATCGTCGCTCCACTGGGAAGGAAAGAGTTGCAGGAAGACAGAGCCCTTCCTATGCCAGCGGTTTGTGAAAATGTTTTGTGCACTGCGACGAGGCAATGCAGATTTTGCCAGGCAGATCGTGAGCCGCGAAATGGGTGAACGGGAATGTGCTGTAGTCTCAGCGGCTCCTTTAGCGAGCTCACTTGAGGGCTGCTGAACTAGAGGGAAGGGGTGGCAACGGCCCCAAACTTGTACTGCGGGTAAAAGGAACAAGATACGTGTGTGGGAGACAAAAGGAACAAGATACGTGTGCGTGGGAGCAGCAGATGGTATCGCCTGATGGATTCAGGGGTGGTAATTTGTTATGTTTTTGCGAATGTAGTCAATGCAGTCTTCGAATGGCACCGAACAGGGCACCGACCGCACGGAAAGAACAGCTGGACACAACGGACGGAGTTCTTGTCACATCAGCTGAGGGGCAATATCAGGAACAAGAACATGGAATGAAGTATTGAAGGGGATGGATTGCAGGGGGGAATCGGCAGCCGACAATGCTGTGTTGGAGAGAGAAACGTCCATGGCAGCTTGCCATTGAGAGCTTCGGAAGGTAGCCAACTTTGTCCAATTTTGCCTTAATTTGACAAAGCGTGCCACCTTGCAGCCGATGGTGGGCTTGTGTACATCAGTATACTTTTGTTGTGTCCATCTCATTTTCCGCTCGCCACTCGACTGCAACGCATGTAGAAGGCGGTCGCGGAAATGAACAGAAATTGAAATCCGCGGCCTGGAGAATTGCATTGGTGGAGTACTACTGTGTATGTTGTAAATGCGCTGGACTACTGTGACAGGGCACCGAAAACGCCACCACACAGCACTCCGCATTGCAAATTGCGTTCAGCACGTTCAACGTTCACGCTCCTTTTCTGTTCGAATTGCTCTACAGCGGGAACCTTACCACATGGCACCGTCGGATCTCAAATTCGGACACAAATGCTGCAAGGCCGCAGCACGACTCAAGGCCCCACGCCGCCCGAAATTCGCCTTCGTAGTCGCGCAACTCAACTGGCCACCATCACCGGCCCTGTGGTCTGGTCCGCATTGCACCCCACCAGAAATCCCCGCACACCCAGCTGGTCACGGCCAACAAACAAACCCTGCAAACCCTGCGCACAATTTTCTCGTCTTCTCGCCTTGCGACTTTCTCTTCTTTTCGAACCGCTTTCGGTGTGGAAAGCACGGTCCCTGCGCAGAACGCCGCCCCTTTTTCCCCCTTGTTCAATTGCAGTCCTTCGGGCCTCTAGAAAAGCGATCGGAACACCGATCCCCGCATCGGAGATCGATACGGGAACGACGCTCAGGCCTCCTGCGCCTCCCGCGCCAAGACCCAAACACAAGCCGGTCAGTTGGGACGCCCACACAGCTCCGTTCAGAATCCGTGAAGGAGACGGAAGCGCAACTCCGTAAAAAGTGCTCACCCCCGCAGAAAGGCTACAAAGTATCAGCTCCCTGGGGCGCGACTGGGCAAGCGCCTTCCTTCAGGGCGGACAGGGGCACAGAGACTGGGCGGGCCCACGGCGTGCGCGCGCGGTTGCGCAAACGCGGGGCGGACGACTGCGTTGAAAGAGAAGGGCAGGGAGGCGCCAGGGGGTGCCTCGGGGCAGCGCCGCCGAGGAGGTCCTGTCCAGTGGCGGCAGCGGACTCTCGATGTCGGCGTTGCAGTGGACACCTTCCGGCAGGCCCAACGCGAGGCTGGACATGAAAAGACATGAATGGCACTACGAGAGGCTGCCATCTGAGGTTGCGCCGAAAGTCAAGTCCAATCGATATGTCCCTTGCCTTTGCACAATCGCTGCCCCCTCCTCGGACATGAGGAGCACCCCAGACTTCGACCTCACGTTGGCTGACTCGCCGTCTGTAAAGTCGCTTTGTCCTGCGGCTGGGGCCTCACGCCGGCGATGGCCTCGTTGCTGCTGACGTTTGCGTTGCTCACTCTCTGCAAGCCATCACAGGCACAGAAGGACGTCACAGGCGACCGCCCGGCGCCTCGTTGCGTGACGGCGACCAGCAATGGGGCGGCGCGAGATCGTTGGAACAGCGCGCGTCGAGGCTGCGCCCAATCTCCCAAAAACGGCCCAGGCAGGCGCACCGGAGCGCCAGACCTGCCAACAGGTCTAATGTCCTAACACCGCGCCTGCGTCCGCCCTTGTTACACTTGGCGCCATCGATATGCGGCAAAACAAGTGAACCAGGCGGCAGCCGACAGAAGCGCCACAGCACGGCAAGGCCCCTACACTCGACCTGCGCCGCGCTCGCCCGGAGCTGCCGAGGAAGCAGGCCCGGATGCGGACAGCGCGGGAAATCCAACAGAGCCCGCTGGCGCGTCCCAAGGCACTCACGAGCCAGGCGACCTGGCCTTGCCAGTTGCTGATCACGGGTACATACGAGTCGTAGGGCTGTCCTCTTCAGCTTCTTGTGTCGACCGAAGCCGACCGGCCATTGCTTCGGCCTGGGGGTACCTGACGACTCCGCCAGACGCCCCCGGGCCGTCAGGCTGGCGAAGCTGGACGGCGGCAGGTCCGCAGTCGGGCTCGCGCGTTGGGGCAGTGTGACCTTGTGCCCGAGGGCGCTCGGATACGGTTGCAGTCAATCCTGGCCTCGTATGCAAAGGCTGCCGTGTCGGGCTGGCGAGCCGCGGTCAGAGTTGAGTGTCCGGGTCAGAGCGTGTGTCCGACCCTAATGCCAAGACACGTGGATCCTAAGGACACGAGGCAGCCTAAAAATGGCCTACCCCCAGAGCACAAACCAGCTGAAAATGACTGGGACCGCAGACTGGTCCAGCCACCACCTTTGTAGCTTCTCCCGGGTTTCCACTATTCAGGGTCCGCCGACCCCTTTCGGCGTTCCAAAGGAAGGCCAATTGGCCCTTCAGATGAGCAACTTCTCGTGCGTAGCTGGCCAGCTGCAGGGTTTCCCCACGCATTAACAGCAAGAAAGAACAACAAATCAACTCGTACAGGATTCCGAAGAGTTTGACTACTCTTCTTACGAGGTTCTGGTTGAGGAGGATGATATTTATGCAGAGCACTGTCCGTACCGCTGTACTGCCAACTTCTAGAAATTCTGGGAATGCATTAGTACTCACAGATGCTCCGGCCCGGTTTCTGGTATTGTTTCCAGGACTTTGGACGTTACAAACGAGATCAACACACCATCATGGCATACGACAACGTCCAGTGTGACGGAGTCTACTTTGCTTTGGCTACAAGCTGCTGACCAGCTTTCGTGTTGTGCAGGTCTGACTTCTCAGGGTCCGCTCAGGGCATGACTACATGACTACATGACTACAAACCTGTTCTTTGGCCAGCGGTTGACTACTGTGACCTCCGTGTTTCGTGTCCGGATGCACTTTGACCGGTGCTGACGCGGTCTTAGCGCGATTGCGAGGAGGTGTTTGCACGTTGACCTCTTTCATTTTGGGTCACATCTTCTTTGCGTTCTTCTCATTACATGAACGAGGCGTTGCGAGAGTATCCACAGCCACTAAACTTGGTATGAGGTCATGGGTTGTATTCTGGAAGTTTGTTAGGCTTCCTACAAAGGCGCTTCCCCTTTCCAGACTTATTTCACTTATGACACCTGGTGGGAAAGGCGGGTGGGATTCAGAATTACAGGGAGTGGTTTCGTGGGATGCAATGGTGACCCAGCGATGTGTAGCAGGGACTGCGCTCCTGGCTGCATTTTCGATTGTGGTTTCAGGAGATTTTCCCACACAATGTATATACATGCATATATACATGTGACACGCCCAGACCAATTCACATGTGATTCCCTAGCACACGGTTCAATCTTCGAGCGGATTCGCGCAACCCAGCCCTGGGTTTCCAATCTGACACAGCCAGCGTGCAACTCACCTGGGCTGACGGCACTCAATCGCGCATGATGCGATGCAGCGATCGCCCTCACGATTCGGAATTTGCACAGGAGCTCCCCTTCTCAGGGATGGGCGATGGTTCACCGGTGGACCATCGGCTGGGTACCCAGCCGCACTTGGATCCAACCTCACAATGTCTCAGTTCAAGTTTGCTGCTGGTTGCCGCTGGGGAGTTGGACACCGTGGGGGCGCCGGGATGCTGGATCAATTGATCCAATCAATCCAATCAATCCAATCAATTGATATGCTATTTGCAAAAAGCAACAGCCCCGTCTCTATTTATTGACCAGCCGGCTACTCCACAACTTTCCAGAGCTTTCCAGGATACTTCCTGATGATCCAGATGATCCCTAAGCTGTCACGTCATCCCTGCGTTAGTGTCGATCCTTTCCGAACCTTCCAGATGCCCGAACCACTAGGAAAACAGGCTAGATGACACAGTCCTGACACAATCTGCTCAAAATCCAACTGTGTACTTTCGGCAAATGTGGTCCCAAACAATTCAGTTAATACACACATTGACGCAGTTTCAAACGTGTACCCTCGAACAACTGTGTAGACCACACGGTTTCCTAGGATACACAGTTAAAGGTGCGTCAATGTGTGTACTAACTGTGTAGTTTTGGGACTACATTTGCCTAAAGTACACAGTTGATTTTGAGCAGTCCGTGTCAGGACTGTGTCATCTGACCTGTTTTTTACTAGTGAACCTTCCTTTACTCGCATTACATTATGATCGTGACTACCCTGCGGCCTCCCTGATCGCATCAGCGCCCTCCTGGTTCGGTTCCATGGCCTCCTGTCAATTCGGGCGCGCGCCATGCGTCCCGCCCCCTGCAATTCACCTGAGCCTGCCCTCGCCCGCTCCCCCATGCCTCCGCCATGCGCGCCAGCGCCTCCCTCGCGCCCTCTATCACTGAGCGAGCCTTCACATCCAGCACCGCGCCCAGCCATCCATCACGCCATAGATTCCGGCATCCCTTGAGGTCATCGCAGCTTCACATGGACATGCAAAATCCATGCATGGCGAGATGAATCGCAGCCATGCGAGCAGTACCGCC